TGACTTCTGGGATGTTTAGTACTTTCACATCGTCACAATATATAAACCCTTAGAAGCCTAGAGGTTTCAAATAAGGTAAAACTAAAAGGAAGGTAAAAGAAAAACCCAAATGGCATACAGTATGAAACTTGAAAGCCACCCAGGATAAATACAATTACAGCTGACCATTACCCATATGCCTCAGAAGTATAAATGCAGTTAAATTCTGGTATTCCAGAATCAAATTAACATATTATATCTACCTGATAATACATACTTTAACCCATTATATCAGCATCAATGATACTGAGTGAACAGCCATTTTTTTTAGGGCTGAATAATTATTCTCAGAATATAATTTTGGAAGCATATAAAAGACATCAGCCTTCTCCCTCCAGCCGACCCCCTATGCTCCCCAATAATAAGAACAATATTAAAAACAGAACAGGAGAAATTGCTTTTTGCTAAGAATTCATATATCACTTCCTTTTTTTAAGAAAAAAAAAGTCTCAATTGTTGCCATACAAATGCCCAAACCTACAGCCTAGACCAACCCTTCGCACTCCTTGCTTGTCCAGCTTTTTTATGCCATACTTGAGTATATCTCATTCGAAAGCAAGTATGATTTCTTGAGTCCTTGTCTTGCTTTTGCTTCGTCATCATAAACTGAAGTTCATGCAATTGATGTGATGGGACAAAATACGCCAGAAATTATTTTTACTACATAGTTGTGAGGTTTTGCTACATTTTGCTACATTTTTTTGCTATATTTTGCTTCATTTTGCTACATTTGCAAATATTTTGCTACATTTGCATTTTTGCTACATTTTGCTACATTTCTTGCTACATTTTAGCTACATTTTTTTTGCTACATTTTTGCTACTTTCGTAATTCCACTGAGTACAAAATTTTCTTTTCAAGCAATAATAGACCTCTAGTTTTTAAAGTCACGCGAGCACAGGAATAGCAAGAGAAAAAATTAATGGTGATCTGAAACATAAAACTACTTTTATGAGGCATTTTGATGAATACCATCAAGAGACATAATGTAATTATTAGGCTGTTATTTATGTTAAATTTGTTGCTTTTGTTGCTTCCAAAGCATTTTAGGATTATAGCACACTTGAGACTCTATCAAATGTACTGGCAGATGCAACAAGTAAGGGGATGAGGCAATAGCTCACTGCTGTTACAACACAAAAAACTAATGTTAAATAACTGAAAATGAGAAATATAGGGCACTAAAGATAATGGTAGAGATGCAATAAAAAGGAAGTACTGTGTAGGAAAATCACAGGCAATGCTGCCATACCTTTTCCTGTCCCCTGTTATTATCTAACATCAAGTTAATTTCTTGTATTATAAAAGTGTTAAGAAAACTAAACTTTGAAATACAGTATTATAAAAATCGAGGCACGCGGGAACAAATGAGAGATATAGCCCAGAATATATTGTCATTGTCTCTTACTGTGACTATGTTATCACAGACTCATTCAGTCACTTGCACTTAAAAATGAAAATGAGTTTCTCTACTAACTCTTTAATGCTGTAGAACTCTAACCCAAAATTGGAAGCGCAAAAGCATCAACAGAATTGCTATCTTTGTATCATTTCCAACAATAAGCAGAAAGAAAACTAGTGAGCAAAGCTTACCCATGATACAGTTCAAATGGTTTTGGAGACAAGGCACTAATCAGCCATATCCAGACATTAAGTTTCTACTCAGAGATGGGCAAGCTTTGTCTATAGTTATTTTGCACTTTCTTGATTCAATGACCTCATTCCTGCCATTAGCACAATCATGTATTCTCCAATGGAATAGTAAACCTTTGGACCCCCAAATATAAACATGAATAAAATATTTTAAGAGGATCACAGCACCCATTAGTATCATATCAGAACATCTTGCTTAATGTCTCCACAGCAGCTATGGACACAGGGAAGTACTATCTATGATCGATCATGTTTTGCAGATGAGGAAAATCCAATAAATCTGCATCTTTAGGCACCTTGATAGTTTTCCAAACCAATCCCACCTGGCGTGCTTCCAGTCCAACAGGAAACATAAGAGAAGAACAGACAAAAATGCAGATATTCCATGTTTGGCTATTCTTCTTCTCAATCACCACTAGGACAGCAGTTTCGGGTTCAGTGAGAAAGAGCACTAAGCCAAGAAAGCATTCAGAAAATGCAGTACATTCCTCTAATCTCATCTTTCTATTCTGTTCACCCCATTACACAAGGAACTAAGAACAAGAAAGATCACCAACTACCAAAGGAAATAAATAAAGGATGGCACGTATCATGATGTCTCTCCCTGATTCAATCAGTGTTTAAGTGTTTCCCAAGTCACATTTCTGGGCCACTGCGTAATTCCCCACACACCATTTTCTATTTCGATTTTTGGTCATCTACATGACAATAGAGGGATGGAAGATAGATGTTTCACAGAGAAGAACAGAAGTGATGTACAGATGCTACAAGTAGTAAGCCCATCTAATAACCTCGTGGGTCGGGATTTAGAGTGTTACAAAATTATTATTGCCAGAGAATGAAATCAGAAGAATTGGGGAGAACTTTCTAATTGCTTTACCATTAATCTGGAACATTGTCACAAGCCCTTAATAAGCAAGGCACCGAGAACTTCAAATCATATTTGACAGATGGGCTTAATTAGTTACTCTCATACAGACTCATAATATTTGCTGTTAATATTCATTCTAAAACACCCTGCTGGCTGTGATAATATTTATATGTTAATCCTGTTACGATAAGCTTTCGGTGCCAAAACCTCCCCAAATAAAATGACTGATATATTTCAAACTTTGATAAATGCTCAGGCAACCTGGTTAAGTTTGTCACTTGTGCAAGTGCCTCCTTAATCCGTGAAATTACACCTGTTACAGTGAGTTAGCTTTATTAATACTATTTTCTGATCCATGTAAAACTATCAGAAACACAAAGGTACTGAATCTTTAGTTAATTAACATTGCCACCTCTGCATTCATGTGACCAGACCTCTGATTTTTAAGAGTAATTAAGCAATATGCAAACAGAGTTTGTTGAATTGCTAAATGAACTGTGGAGGAAAATAATTTGGTAGGAGACATCAATATTTAGCTGTTATATATTGTGCATATTTAGTGACACCAAGCATACCTAGATACAGAAAAAAATTGTTTCCCCAGAAATATTGAGCACACTCTCTTTCCCCATATAATGCTTGATTTTACTTCTTAAAATCAATAGCAAAACAGATATAATTAGATTTAAAGAGGAAAACAATTCACTGAGCAATACATTGCAAATATTTTATGTTTATTTACAAACAACGAGGAAGAAGCTGTCAAAAGTGAGAACACCACAAATCTCAGCTGGGAACTCAGAAGAAATAACCAAAACAGACATTATGAGTGCTATACTTATACTTTGTCTTCATTTTGTTTTCATTCCAGTAAAATCTAATATGTATATGAGCTCACATTTCCTTTAATAAACATGAAGCAATGCTTATACACAGAACCCACAACCAGTGCATCAAAAGGTGACATAATAAATTGCTTTTTTGTATACAAGGGGTCATTTTGAAGGCTTGCCACTGAATTATGAATAACAAAGGGAAATAAATTGCCAAGCTTCAATTCACCCATGAGGATGCACTATATTTTCCCGACGAGGAAGAGAAACCAGGCAAATGCACTGTATGGACCCAACGAGATAAAGTCTGATGGAAAACTCGTCATTGAAATAATCTTTGATTTTGATCCAAAGCCCATTTCAGGCAAGAAAAATATTCACACCATCTTCAAATAGCTTTGAACTGGGATTTTAAAGAATCCCTCTGACAGACTGTGCTTAGACAGTAGGAAGCTCTGACCTTGGCATATATACACACACTGCATCTTTGACCAATAAAATGCAGTCAAGTACGAGACAATATATGTTTTAGATGAGAAAATTCAGGACACTAAGAGCAGAAAAACTGTGTGAAAACTGAGTTATAATAAGGAAAATGTGATTTATGTCATGATTATGAGGGAAAATTCTTCCCTTCTTTTTTTCATATACCTAGCTTGCAAAGACATGAAACTTCCTAGTTATTAGGCTGAGAAGGTATTTATTTAAAAATTATAAAGCACATAATAAATTCCTAAAGCCTATAAGATTTTTGTAAAATATCAGAAGTAAATCACAGCGCAGAAGTTCCACGTTACCTGGTAAGTTTTCTAAGAGCAATGCCAAATACAATACATATGGAGGCAGTCAGATCCTTATAAATATGCACTTAACATCCAGTTCCAAAAACAATGAACAAGAAGCAGCAAATTATATGAAAATATATCCATTAATTAGTTGTGATTGGAAACAGAACATCCACCTGCCAGTAAAAGGCTGTTTAAGACAGGTCAGCATCCAAAGTTGTTGCATAATGGCAATGGAAAACGGAAAATCCATTCCCTTCTGCAGATTAAAAATTCATATAAGTCTCACCAACAAAAACGTGGGGCATGGTTTCCTCTGGATAAAACAAAAACCTAAAACTAAATAAAACCAAACCAAACGAAAACAAAAAAAAAACCACAAAAAGCAAAACAACACACCAAAAAAATACCCAAGCAAAAATATAAAAATATTTTTTAAAAAACCCAGAAACCAAAAAACCCCACCATAAGAAGCCCTATAACTATCCCCTGCTATATTGCCTGGCAGCAAATAATCTGAGGAGATTAAACTAGACAAAACCTTATTCTAAGATATAAAACATGTTTTTCTAAATACTCTACGAAAACAATATTTCCTGCTAGTTTCAACTTCCTTTGAGTATTAGGATTGAATAACAGTTTGTTCAAATTGTTATGTGGTAGAGTTAGCAATATACTACAAAGTAAAAACAGCCACAGCTTTTCCAAAAGCATTTTCATCATGCAGTATAATGAAACTCACTAAAATCATGGTGAAGTGCTTTGAAAAGGAAAACCAACCATTAGTTATTAGAAGATAAACTGCTGGGAATGACCTACCTGTTTTCAGAGGCAGCAGATTTCCTCTGGCAAACAATAACAGCTGGCGCGTATTTCCCGGTATAATCCATGCTCTCTCTGATGTCCCATAAGTAGGGGCTGCTGGCTCTTACACCGAAAACGTTCACACCTTTCTTCACCTTTGCCCTAGGAGGAACAAGAGGATATTTCACCAATTAGATACCAAATCTCAGCTCAATCTGTTACTTATTTCTTCATTATTTTTTCATTACTGCCCCACAGAAAATGCTACCACTTATTAGAGTTCAACAGTATTACAAGGAAAAGAGATGAGAGAATTAATTAGGAATTCCATATTTTGAAGAAATTGTATCAAGATGGAAATCTTATTGAACTAATGGCAATTACAGCTTTAGTCATAGCTAAATTGCAGAGCATGCTCCTCATTCCTAATATCCAGGGCACCACTGAGCACATTAAAACTCTCTTACGACTAGAATTTATTATATTGGAATAGAAAGTACCATTTTTGTCAAAAAAGGAGTCAGGTGGTTGGTGGGGCTTACACGTGGAGTGAGGAGCCATTGCTAGGTCTCATATTACAAGCAAATTCTACCTTTTCTTCTCCCCCCTCTTCGCCCCCCAGATTACTTGAACATGCCATTTCATATCTTTGCTCCAACTTCCATCATTTTTCTGAGACCACAATATTTCTTCATTTTCTTTTAATACTGTTGGGTTTAACTGTTCTATCAGCTCTAATCCTAAAAATACTTAGAAATATTCTTATTTTTCCAAAAGTGTGACTGATTTCTTTGGAAGTCTGTTTCTATATGTGAGGTTACAGAGTAGGAAGAGCTCTATGACAAAATGTTACAGTCATGACAACTGGAGCAGCTGCTACTGAGAAGTACTTTCTGGTTCTCATGTGTTAATATAATACTTCCAATTTTGAATAACCAGTGGAGAAAAGGAGCAAAAGTCACACATTTACACATACATATATATGTGTATAAACATCTATTTTATTTCCTGTTAGCAGGTGTTGCATTCCTTAATTCTTTCTCTCCCTGTCTTGAACTAAATAACTATGTACCTTAGGGCACTACCGAATTAGACTACAGCTACAACATGTTGGTCAATTTTCTGAATTAAGAGTTTCTGGTGTTAACTTTTGGTTTCTGAATGTGTTTACAGAAACAAAAAGTCCACTGTGGTGGAACAGCCTTATATATGAGCTGTCAGGAAATGACAATTTAATGATATTTGCTTAAAGTCTAACACACAAAATCCATTCAGTGTTATGGCAAGTTCTCAATTCTGGGCAGAAAAACAAAAACGTATGTGATTTTTTGTATAAACAGCTGCTGCCATGCAGAGATGCTAATATCAGTAGAACAAGCACTATCAGCTCTGCCTCTGCATGAAATTACTTGTGAAATCTTTGAAGGACAACAAAGATTATTGTCAGATGTTTTCAGAATAAGAAGCCAAAGGATTCATTCAACTGTATTGGACAATAAGAGTTATATCTCATTTCTTCTATCACTAACTCAATAGCAGTGGCTGTAATTTCCTTAGCACATCTGGAGGAATTAATACACCAAGGCCACCAACTTGTCCTCAAGTGCTTCTACACTAATTTCACAAAACACATTTCAAGCAGGTGCAGTTACTGCTCCTGGACCACTGACATCTCTCAGGACAAGAGATCAATGGTCAGAGAAGAATGGAATGCATTCCTGGCATCTTAGAGAAAGAGAGGGAGACAGGAGAAAGCCAGACATTCTGGATGAAACACTTTTCAGCATACAGCATTAGCTATTCCTAGTGACCAGCATTTGGTCCCACCTTTCTCTTCCACCTCAAAAGAAAACCGCTGGATGTCAATGAAGACCAATGCTAGGAAAACTATTTCCTCTTCACAGGGATATGAGGGTGGCTCAGATCTTTTGAATTGAAGCTGCTTATGATTAGGAAGCTCATAACCTCTCCTTCTAGCTCTCTAGTGTGGTGGCTCTCTCTCTAGTAGTTGATCACGGCTGGCAAGAAGGTGCCAGTGTGAGACTTGGGCCACCTAGCTGAGCTTTGGTATTTGAAAAGGCAACGGGAAGCCAACTCACTGTGCTCAGCTCTAGCACGAGACAGTGGCTTTATCACAGCCAGAGACCGCTCACAAGGGTGCAAGTGAGTTGGCTGGTTTCATTTCACAAAGCCGCTCGTGCTCTAAGGTTGGTCCCTCACGTTTGCCAGGGAGGCACAGCAAGCCCCTGCTGGAGTGCACTGTGTGTTCGGTCAACAATCAGCCGCTGCTCCAGATTTTGCAAGAGACAGTGAGTATGTCTAAGATTTCTACATTTCACGGGGCATGTGGAGGAAAACTGATCCTGCTGTGAGACGTTTGGAAGGAACAAACAAAGATATTAAGCACTTGAATTCTCCTGGACAAGATTTCAGGGCAGGAGGGAAGGTCCATGTCCTGGAAACCCAAGCAGAGAGTAGCCTTACATAAAAGCAACAATTTTCCAGTGACTGGAGGTTAAGAGCAATTACTATACTATAACTGCTACTTAAAAACACACAACAGATTATATTGACTATACAACAGCTATGGTTTTTATTTTTTTTATTTATAAAATTGGTAGGGAATGATGAAAAAGCAGTCTTAGACCACAGCTTAGTCTACCTTGCTTTCCTGGCACATATGCAATAGCTTTCCCGCAACTAAGAAAGCTGCGCAGGGTCTCAGTACTGCTAGGTAAACAGTCACACACTGAAAACTAAGGAAATTTCACACTTTTATTTTTTAAAGCATTAAAAAACATATTAAAATAAGTGTACAAGCACAGACATATAACTTATACCATCCTCTTACTCTCTGTCTGGATTCTTGTAAATGCCAAAGTGACAGGATAAAACAGAAAAATTAACACAAAGCCACTTAGACAAGCTGAGTTTGTTTATCCTTGACATTCGCTTCATCCAATGACAAACTGCCATCCTGCACTGATTTCTGATGTTTCTAAACAAATGCAGATCCTTGTGTACACTCCTTGGGGTAATTGCAGTCTATGGATCAGGATTTCTTAGAAGAGTTTTTGATAAGTTCTAATTTAGTCATCTATTAAAAGCCTCAAACCCCTGATTCTACTGAAAACAATAACACAACATGATTGTTGCTTTCTGCAGAATTAGAGGTTAGGAATTCTTTTTGAAGAACCAGTTAAACATACTGCTATACTTAGCACAAAAGCTTCAATTCCACGATCCCAGGAAATGCTTTATCCTCCAGCACATCTCCATACTGTGTTTGCCACTGTTGGGGAACTGCAGAATTTGATTCACCCGATTTACAACAGCAGTAGCACTTTGCAATTACCAAAGAATGACCTGGATGAGACAGGGTTAATAATAACTGAAGGTATGTTATTTGTCAACAGATGAAACTGAAGATACTTGAGGTGAGAACACTGTGACTGCTGCCAGGGCTCAATTACTTTCTTGCAAATCTGCTTTATTGAATTGCCAGGCTGTCACAGGGCAAGCTGGGTCTTTGACCCTTCAGCTGTGCTTGAGAGCACTCATGAGACAGCCTCTCGGTTCAACCACAGTTCAGCCTACTAAGATTTCTCAACCGCAATATGCAAAAAGGTATAGGAGAAAGCTTCTTCATATATTTGCTCAAAGTTAACAATAATACAACAGACTGTACGTTTGCTTAAAACACTGTGGCTGGGCAGCAGCAAGCAAAGTTGTTTGCGTATTTTGTGCCCATCACTTTGGGCCAGATTCTACTTTGGAAAACAAAAGAAAAGACTTAAAAATTTCAGTTGTAGTTGGCTTGAGGTGGTTGGATGTTTGGGGTTTTTTTCAAAAGAAAGGACCCTATCCAACTAAACACTTTCACACTTGTTTCTACAAGCTGTTACTTACCTCTGGATCACCGCTCATGGCCAGGCACATCAGTTACTGAGACTCGTAAGTAGCTCACCCCTTGCACCAAATCAATCACGGCAAACAAAGCCCTTGGGAGCCCTTGATCCCTGAAAACCTGTCAGTGCTGACAGGGTACAAGTCAAGAGAATTGAGAAAGGAAAAAACTTAGAAGGAACTCCCAGAATCAATACATCGCACCTGAAATCAAGGAAATACATTTCCTAAGTGCATACAGATAGTGATTCCCAATCCTATCTCACGACCCACTATACACTATGTTTACTTCAGTGATGAAGGAGGCTTCAGCTCGACCAGTTAAAATGCAGGCAATGTCCTCTCTCATTTATCAAAGTGTCTGTTTTAGCATCTCCCACTTTTTGCAGTTTACAACCAGTTAGCGCTTAGCTTTCAGCCCATGTCATTACTGCAGGCTGGTAATGGCTGTGAAATTGTTACTTAAGTGTTGTATAAAGTGGAACAGCTGGCTGGTGAAAAATAACCGCATCAAAGCGCGTGTGTTGCTAAGTGCCGCGGTACAACGTCGACAAAGTGTCTGGTTTGAAGCACCACAGGGAAGGGAAAGA